ATACAGATATAGATATTACATTATTAGGGTTTAGTTTAAGGAGCAAGTATTCTAGAACTCTATAGAAAATTTCAATGACAATGAGAAATATCACTTGTTCTTGTTGGATATGTATGTCATAGACTTCTTGAGATGAATTGCTCTACTTTTGGTGTTGGAATGGTTAAATCTCTAGTGAGGTGATTTTTATAGAACTCTAAAAACATATGTTCACGCTTCAGACTGAATTAACAACGACTGCCACTATCTTTCTATTCCTAATCTCAAACCGTATGAATGGATATGCGACATCCCTCATCCTAAGTACCTTTCTCTAAATCCAGAATCTTTTTGAGTTATGTTTGACCTGTAAAAAAGAACCATTATACAATAGATAATGTTGTGTCAAAGCAATCAGAGAGAATCTAATAGGAAAAAAGGCGCCAGTTTAAACTAAGAGCAAATATCTTCGCAGAATCTCGAAGACTTTTCATCCCTAACCATCCCTTTGCCTTGGGATAACAATGTTCATCCCACGTTATATATCTTCGCTTTATGAGTTTGATTCGGTGATCCAAACCAAAAGAGCAAACTATAAAAGTTCCCACACCAATCTCCATACCTGCAACTTTATCAAGGAGCGGTAAACCAAGATTTCCATATTTTTATGTGTATAATTGATCAAAGCATATATAAATATTATTTATTTTAATATTTTTTCAGTAAAATTGATTTCTGTTATTTTTCTAAACTATAGAGCATACAATATATTATATAAATTCTAGATTTCTATGAATTTGGTAGACATAACAAATGAAAATAATATACGTTTTTCAATAATAAATTGTATATATGCAGAATTTTGTAAATGTCCCAATTTTTAGGTATTAAAGTGTTTTCTCAATTAATATATATAACCAGGATTAATGCGGAGTATGTAGCATTAGGAAGACTAAATAATAACGGTACTAATTAGGAGGAGGGAAAACGTGGTCATATAAAGAAAGCGAGAGAGAAGGAGAAACACAAGCAAATTTGCATGGCAAAAGACAATAATAGTTATTGATTGACTAACTCACTCTCACACAAACGCACTCGCCCTCCGGACATCCGTTGGTTTGTTTAGCTCTCCTTATCTTTCTCATGTCTTCTTCACACACCAATTAATACTCCAGACTCCATTTACCTTTACTAATCCAACATCAAATTTGGTTGCTTTGTATTGTATTAGCCTTTCTTATTTCAATCTTTCACTATATCCAGTTTAACATTTTATGTTTGTGCTTCAGATACAAAAGACATTTTATAACTTGAGGGATTATATCATTTTGGATGGCTCTTATTGTAGATCAGGAACGGCCACAACACAGGCACTATTGTCGGATTTGCAAGAAAGGTTTTGGGTGTGGTCGGGCTCTAGGGGGTCACATGAGGGCGCATGGAATCAGCGATGATATTTGTAATATGAGCAAT